CTTAAGGTGCTCGGTGGTGGCGGTGGCTGTTGGCAGCGATCCTGACTTTCCTCTTCTTTGTCTCCCTTCCAGTGATCCATTTTTTCGATGCCGTGAAAGCGGATCGCACCCAGAGCTGGCTGTACGCCGCCTGCTCGCTCTCCTACCTGGGCGCCATGGTTTCCAGCAACTCGGCTCTGCAGTTCGTCAGCTACCCGACCCAGGTGGAGCGGGGCGGGGGGAGACGGCGCTCACATGCAGCTTAGCGCTGTCACCCCCCAGCGCTGGGGCCCCCAGTGCTGGGGGTACCCCAAAAACGAGCACTGTGCTGACAGCGAGTGCGGTGGGAGAACCGGCTGGTGAAATGAAACTGTGGCTTTGACGCTTATTTTTCTGTAGCAGCTTTTGTGGGGCTGTATCCCCGAGTTTCAGTCAGCGCTGGGTGTGTAGAGAGGGGTTAAGAGAGCTCGGACTGTTCCGGGAAGGGAATGGCAATCCCTGGAAATTATGGGAATTTGTTAATTGGGAGTTGGTGCTAATGTTGGAGGACTTGAGATGATTTCTGAAAGCTTCGCTGTTGATTTAGCGGTTGCCCTGGGGTGGGGTTTTTATCTCCTTTTTTTGAAGTGTCTGGTGTGTTTTATCGGAGGGGTGCGTCAGGCGGGCTGAGCCCGTACGGTCACCCGTGTGTTGCCGTCATCTCTCTCGTCGCAGGCACGTGGTTAGTTAACGCAGCTTTTCTTTTATAGGTCCTGGGCAAATCCTGTAAGCCCATTCCAGGTACGCGAACTTCATGTTTTTTCTTGTGTGTCTGTGTGGATTTCTCGTGGAGAACCTCCGTTGCCAGAACAATGCCTCTGGCTGCTCTGCGAGCAGTGTTTTATCCGTGTGTTGTTCTGTTGAACTAATTCCCACAAGAAGATTTTGGGAGCGGTTTGTGACGTTGCTTCTTTACAGTCATGCTTTTAGGAGTGACGTTGCTGCGGAAGAAGTATCCACCAGCCAAGTATCTCTGCGTCCTCTTGATAGTCGCAGGCGTGGCCCTGTTTCTGTACAAACCGAAAAGGGCGGCCGGGAGCGATGACCACGTCTTTGGCTACGGAGAACTGCTCCTGGTGAGTCCTGGCAGCACGCGGTGAACCCCGGCGGGGGGAGGAGGAACCGGCAGTGACAGCGCAGAGGAGGCCGTGGCCTTTGTACCTCAGGTGTGCTCAAAGCCGATGTGGAAACACTTCCGCAGGAGGATGCCTGGGTCTGAGGGGTGTGTTCTTAAGCTGCGGTATGAGATCGGTGCATGAGTACACGTGCGTTCCTCTTAGCGTGTGTTTTAAGGCCACGTTATTGCTCTTCAGTAGGTGATTGGGGTGTAAAAAAAGGAGGAGAGTGCTCAAGATTTTCGCCATGGAGAAGATATGAAGAATGCAGGTTTTCTTTGTTTTCTCTGACCTCTTGTCTTTTCTTAGCTGCTGTCTCTGACCTTGGACGGGCTGACCGGCGTATCGCAGGACCACATGAGAGCTCACTACCAGACGGGTTCCAACCACATGATGCTGAACGTTAATCTGTGGTCCACCCTGTTCCTGGGCGCCGGTAAGGAGCACCCGGCAAAAACCACAGCCACCGCGCCCAGAGACCGCCCTGGGACAGCCAGTGGGAAGAGGCGTTGCATCCTGCTCCAAAAACGGGCCTAGAACACTGTTTGCAAATAACTGTGTTTTGTTTGGGGGTGTTTTGTACGTAAAGTCTGGGCTGTGGGGTGTAGCTCTCCCCGTGCCCACCAGAGGACACCGCCTCCGCTCCCTGTCGCTGCCCAACACATTGTCACTTAGGAGAAGTCCTGCCTCTGGGCTCGGAGCTGATGCTTCTCATCTTGCTCTTTCCTCCAGGGATACTGTTCACGGGGGAGCTCTGGGAGTTCCTGAGTTTTACCGAACGCTACCCCAGCATCATTTACAACATCCTGCTGTTCGGCCTGACGAGTGCACTGGGTCAGGTAACTCCGCGTCCCTTCTTCTGCGCTCTTTGCTGGGATTTGTTTGCACAGTTGGGAGATGACAAAGTAACTTTGCCTCACTTTCCGCTGCTTTGGTTGTTGCTTTCTGTACAGGCTACCTTCAGAATAAAACTGGTTTAAGTTTGTATGCAAATAATCGGGATTTGAAATAAGATTCTTTCGGCTCTGGCTTGATGGCTTTTCACCTAAAGATCTGTGTTGTACAGTTTCCAGTCAAGAGTGACAAAAGGTGTCTCTTTGTTTTTACAGAGTTTTATTTTCATGACTGTGGTATACTTCGGACCTCTGACTTGTTCCATCATCACCACAACCCGCAAGTTCTTCACCATTTTAGCGTCCGTCATTCTGTTTGCCAACCCCATCAGCACCATGCAGTGGGTGGGGACCGTCCTGGTGTTCCTGGGTAAGGCTGGGGAGCAATCGCCCCACATCTTTCCCCTGTTAACTTAAACAGAGGTGACGTATAGCGAGGGGAGAGCTAACAAAAGGTCCTGGGCAAAAAATCTAATTGCATTAGGACGTTCTCGATGCATGTTAGTGGCCTCGCCAGTGCAGGAAGAGAGGAATGTGGTTTCTAGCAGATCTCTTAGGTCTTTTTTTTTTTTTTCCCTCCACACTGGATCTGCGTGGCCGTTAGTAAATTGGTGCTGTTACTGCAATGTGGAAAATCAGCTTTTGTTTGTTTGAAGAATGTGAAGCCATTTTCTACACACATGGATTATTTTATCTCATTGCAGGCCTTGGACTCGATGCCAAATTTGGAAAGGGAGTAAAGAAGACATCGCATTGAGGAAATGTTGATCTCTGCAGTTGAAATGAACTTTTAATTTATTGTCTTGTACCTCAAAATCTGTTGTGAAACTGGACTCAGGATAGGTAATCAGAAGGAGAGTGTTTGGTTGGGTTGGTTTGTTTGTTTGTTTTAGTTTTTTTAATTCTAAATTGTCTTTAAAATGTAATACTTTAGTTTTAACTGTAACTGAGCTTTTTTTTTTTTTTCTGTAATCAAAGCTGCATTACTAGATCCTAGCAGCAGGATGAGATTCTTGCCTTAACAGGAAAAAAACTTCATATCTTTATTAAAGAAAAAGAGACAATGGCCATTTTTTCCAGAACTTTAATTTCAGTATTATTGGCTGCTGTTGGGGAGACACAGCACACCTCTCTCCAAGGAGAGGGCTAGGCTTGGAATTATGTCCGTTCTTTGGTGCGGCCTAGAAAGATCCCTGGATTAAATGCCTGTGTTGAAGTCAACCCCCCTCCTGATTGATTGTCTGATTTTTCCATAACTGAGCTGGTGGCGCAGCCAGTTGGACACTCTTCCATTAAGATAATACATGTAAACATTGAGGTGCTTGATATCCTTCATCTGAGCCCTTCTAAAACCAGAAGCAGCTCTTGGCGTATGCAAAAGTTTCCAGGAAACCTATTTAACCAGTGGGCCCCAAATTAATTCCTTTCGTCCCCCCTGCTGATGAAGGAACAGGACCCTCTGCTGCTAAAACCATGCCAAGGTTGTGTGACAACGGCTTCTAAATGTTGAAAGAGCCCTTGTTAATTAACCACCATCCCGGGGAGCTCTCCAAACCCGCTCCGGAACGCGGGCGAGCTCCCCCGTGTTGTGTGGGGAGGAGTTCTTATCATAATGATGCCTTCAGAGTTGGAGAGGAAAATTCTCCAAAGAGCAAACTTTACACATGAAAGCATGTTTCTACCAGCTGTCGCTTGGTCTCCATCTGTTCGGCGGCTTTGGCCTTTTGCCCCTCCAGATGGGATCTTGATCTCTTTCCTGAGCGGCTGTTGTAAGTCTTTCTCTCCCCTGCTTCCCCCACACCTCCAGTGTTTCTTACAACTTTTTTGGCCTCAAATTTGTTTTTCATTTAATCTGTCTTACTATCCCATAGTTCTACACATTTCTTGCAAAACTAAACCTGAGGCTATTAAAGGGTTTTTGTCTGTCACCGTCACCTCTTTGCTAACTTACGTTGTCTTAAAGGTCAAGTGATAAGTAGCAAACAAATATGTTCTCAGTAGTAGAGAATTCGGAATTAAAAGCTTCCGTGACTCCATGAAAGCTGCCTGATGAACACCACGTGCTGCATCTGCGACTGTACGGAGATTCTGCCGCCCTGAAGACAGCTATCCTTCCCCGTACCTCTAAGGTAACAAATACTATTTCCATTTTATAAAAGGGAGCAGAGAAATTGCGCGAGTTGTTCACGAACACTGTCAGAGAGAAGAATTAATGATCTTTTGTGTGTCTTAATGATAAAACTGTCTTCTCTCTGTGCTTATAGGACTTGTGCTCCTCTGTCTCTTACACTATCTTGAATTTAACCAATTCTCAAACTCAGCAACCAAAAGCAGCAAAAAGATTCTAGGTGAGCTCTCAATTCTGTTAGTTTTGCAGACTTATTTTTCCTTTTATTAAATGAGTAATTTAATGTAGGAATAGACCCAGCTCCCCGTCACTGTGCAAATACAAACACCTGAAAAATGTGTTATAAATCCCTTACTCCTTCAACCATCCACTTCCTCGTGATAATCTTGGAATTTCTGTTCAAACATGTCGCCTGTTAAGAATATTTGAGTCGTTACAAACCACCACTCTAGAGTGCGTGCTACAAATCAAAGGGAAATCACTCTTATTTTCATTCCATGGAAGCTGAATTGCTGATTAGCAATAATTCTGTACTGAATAAAGCTCTTGAGAAAGTATATGATCAGAAATTGAGGGAGTGAGATAGCGGCAGCCTTTCTCCGCTGTGCCGTCGGTCTGTTATCAGCGATCTCCTTTTTATTTACAGCACCTCAAGCCAAAATGTCTCTTCTGTGTACGTGCTCTTCCTGAACTCTTCTCCCCCGTTTTCCCCAAGTCTAGGTGTAGCTCTAGAAGAGACAGTGTCTTAAAAATGAAACAAAGACTTCATTGTTAATTTTTTCCTTATCAATTGAAAAGAAGGCACCATAGTTTCAAGGGAAATTTTGCTCAAACCCGCAGGTCTGTGCCCTTCCCCACACTGCAGCAGCCTAGACGACCAGCAGAAAGAATGAAGCTGGAGCTTCCTGGGGTCTATTTTCTGAGCCAAAATCTGTCTTTACCAATATCTTCAACTTGTCTGTATTCAGAGCACAGATTTAAAGATCGGTCTGCCAAGAAGAAAGAAAATAAAGGAGATTTTCTCTCTCCTGATTGCTGCAGGCTCCCTTGACCCACTTTAGCTCTAAAGCCTATTCCTGGTATTGCTCTATTCCTGGTTCTTGCTGCACCTCTGACTCTTAGTCAATAAGAATTTCTTAAAACAAAGGCAGCTCTTGTACCTATCTTGAGTCGGAATCCTTTGGATTTCTTTGGACAGCTTGCTGTCTTCTCTCCAGACCTCACGTATTGCAGGATCCCAGAGGAGGCTACAAAAGCAATTCAAGAAGCTGTTTTCAAATAGGTGCTGGCTTTGCGTCTTGGACAGTTTTAACACTGCCACAAAACAGGTCCCCAGCTTTGAGCTGCCAGGAGGGTTGCTGTAATGCCTCTCCCCAGTGACAGACTGGTTACCATGTTTTGAGGAGCCTCACTGCTGGCTTTGGGGGTATGTTCCTGCTTGAGTTCAGCTGTCTCTCTAAATAAAGACAGGTAAACTCCAAAGGAACTCCCATAAAGTTTTCATCCTCTGTGTGACTTCTTCCTGTTAGAAATGGTCGCTCCTCTTGGAGGCACCTTTTGCAGAGGGATAATTACGTTTAATAGTTTCTTGACTTTGTTCTTTTCTTATAAACAGTGCAAGTGTCTTCAGAGGCAATGCTTGAAATGTCAGGAAAGGCTTTCTGTCTTCAAGAGATGAGTAATGTACAAAATGTTGATGGAACTTCCTCTAGTTTATCGAGATACTGCATAACATCTAGGGGATGTCTGTGCAGAGGAATCTTTAACCACTGCTGGCAAGTTATATTTTACTTGTTCAAAGAAGGAAGTGTTCTGTGGTAGCATGTGCGCCTATGAGCAGTTTAGAGGTTTCAAGGAATTAAAGCACCGTCTGGGCCTCACCAGCTCTGCTGTGACTCAGTTTGCCTTTGCTTTTTTTAGACATTCTCCAGTTTGTTAGAAGGGTGTAAATCTAATTCAATAAAAAAGACTACCTTGTTCTTTTTAGTCCTGTGTGCTTGATCTGTCTGTCTTTCCCCAGCTGTAAGCAATAGTTTTGTGATAGCGCCATATTTTCCAAAATGAAAAGTTTTGGTAAAGTGGAAAACATTACTGTTTGCAGCCAAGATATTAGGTGCTTTGAACGCTCGCTGCGTAACATTTGGAGTTTGGGCTGACTTGCCAAGGAGTTACTAAAGGGAGCGCTTGTGGTTTGCTCCTTCCTCAGCAGATGTGACTGGTCTTTCTCTAAGCAGAAGAGGAAGGGAAGTCAGTTGAGTAGGAGATCAGTTTATTAAGTGCCGTAGACAAAGCCCTGCAAGTGCAAAACACGAAGGTCAGGTGGAGAAGTTTCAAAGAGATTCCACCTTCTCTTCTGCTTTTTGTTGGCTCCAGTCTCAAGCCTGAGTCCCTTTATGACTCAGCCAGTTACCAGCAGGGGGAACTCTTATTTCAATCATTTTCCAGAAATACAAGGAGAAAAACAACAGAAAAGCAGTTCCTCTTTAATTAGCGATAGAACTGTACTTCTAGAGTCCTTGTGCTTGCAGTAAAAACCTAATGTGGAAATCAAGGTCTTCTTCCATTTTTATTCTGCTTAATTCCTTTTGACCGTCAGCAGAGACTACATTGAGGCTAAGTCGTTAGAAGCGTTAAGAGAATCACCGTCTCTTCTGCAGAACGGCCTTCATTACAAACAGCATGAGTGTAAATGAGTCTGTCCACACCTGCACGTCCTCCTGTCCTCGTGTGACACCGACAGCTGGCTGCCTGCACAGCAGCAGCCATTGCCATCACGGTTGATGTTTTGGAAAAACATTTCTGCCAGAATTCTCCTAGGAACCTTGTCAGTTCTTGGTGGTTCCAGGGAGACGAGAAGAGTCACGCACGTACTGAGAATAAACAGCAGGTTACATCGCTGCGGTGTTTGTGCCTGTTGTCCCTCCAGGAGGAACTCGTTGATGTATCAGCTAAGAAAGGTGAAGTTTTATTTCACAGCTAACTGAGACATGGCATCCGCAGGGGGGAAAACTTGGCAGCTGCATTCCTTTGCCTTTCATCTTCCTTGTTTTTACAAGCCCCTTCTGCAACTCCACCAGCAGATGTTTTAAAAACCCCAAATGTTTAGAGGGCACATGGAATAAGGTCGATGATACTGCATGTGCATTTATTTTGTAGAGGTGGATATAGTTGTATAATGCTGATAATTCTCTGTTCACAGGATCATAAAGACTTGTGCTCAAATTACAACAGTTTAAGGGATAAGGAAGTTAGTGTTACTGCTTTGAAATCAATGAATTGCCAGTCCTGAAAATACCAGTTATGACCATTAAGGTTGGGTTATTTTCTTCAAGAACAGCTAGGATTTATGCTGTGCCACTCAGTCAATGATTACATGAGCTCATCCTGCAGGATTCTACATAGTCTTGCAAAGGAAACGGGGATTCCAGTCAGATTTCATGGACTGAAAATCACACGAGAATCAAAATAGCACCCATCGGGGAAAATATATTCTAGCTTTCTAATCAAATGTTGTAATTTCCCCTTTATAATAGCAACTGTTTAAAGACAACACTAAGAAATCTCGCAGTGGCCCTGAAACATAAACAGAAGCCCTTCAGGGCCCATCTGCAATGGTCTTTTCCCACTGACAGCAGAAAACTGTTCTCCAAAGGACCATTTCCCACCTAAAATTAACCATTACAAGGCAATAAAAATCTCAGCCCTCTCAAGTACTCTCAAACACTAGGGATCATTGTCTCCAGTTTCTGTGGTGGTGGAAAAAGTAGACAGTTGAGTTTGTGTCCTCTGGCAGAATGACTGCGTGGCGTTCATGAGCTAAACTTCTAAAAATTGCTTCTCAGAACAATGCGAACTGCTTTCCAGGCAAAGGCTGCCTCTCTTATTCCTTATCAGCTTTGAGGAGCAGAGTCTGCTTTCCAGACAAATTTGCAGCCTG